TAATAATGGATTGCATGGAGATTTACTTACTTTTATCATGGACTGCAAATGACCTCCTTGGGGTGTTCTGCAATCAGGAGAAGGAAGGAGAAAAACACCTCCCCATGTCGTTCATAATCCTCTAATTTATTTATTTGTGTTTGCTAGTTGTCTCATAACACAGTTTTACTCCTGGGGGAATATTGTAATCTTGCAATGGTGGCCTGATGGCTCTGCAGGTGTTATTGGGCCACTGGCTTTCAGTCTGTTCATGGGAGCCCTGATGTTTCCCAGAAACATTTTGGGGACACCTGGCCTCAATCTGCTGAAGGACCACTACTGACCCTTTCCTATGATAGCAGATAAAGTTGTTTTATTCTGGGATGCCTTTCTACTATGAATGTTGCTTTTACATTTTTATTTTCTGATGTGTTAACCTATGTTATAAGTTTTGTACATTGTCCATGTCCTCCCCCACCCCCCCGTAAGCTGCTTTGAGACAGAGATTCTCTCAAGGTACCAAACTTGTAAATTGTTATTTATCATTAGTGATGTGTGAGAGCGGAATAAAAAGTTTACAACTATATTGTGTTTGGGTCTTGAGAGGATTTGTGAGCTTTAAAGGTGGGATGAAGACAACAACAACAATAGCAACCTATATTCTATCCATTTGGAATGTGGATAAATTATACATTTTTAAAAAATTGTACTAACATAACCATTGTACAGCAAGACTATACGACTCTCCCATTCCCATTCAGCTGCATATTCAAAAGCAAAAATTAAAATGTTGGCATATTTCTATGGAACTGATAGTTAAAATTTGGATTTTTAAAAAATGCACCTTCCTTCTAACCCTGTCTACCCAAGTGTCTACTTAATTGAATTAAACAGGGGTGTGTGTGTGTTTGTCTGTGGATGGGTAAGAAAGGTGCGCTGCTTGAAAGCAGTCGCAGAGAACAGAATAGCTTGCTTCTTGTGTGTGTGGCAGGGCCTGGCTTCTAATTGAGGTCGAACAGTTAGAAATCCCTTTTGCTGGCATGATAATAAAACCCTGGAGACACAGAAACCTCTCCAACTGCTAATGCTCTTTACTTTGACTTGGATCTATTGGGTCAGGAAAACTGAAGCAAATGCATCTACCTAGCAGTTCGAAAGCACATCAAAGTGCAAGTAGATAAATAGGTACCGCTCTGGCAGGAAGGTAAACGGCATTTCCGTGTGCTGCTCTGGTTTTGCCAGAAGCAGCTTAGTCATGCTGGCCACATGACCCGGAAAAACTGTCTGCGGACAAACGTCGGCTCCCTCGGCCAGTAAAGCAAGATGAGCGCCGCAACTCCAGAGTCGTCCGCGACTGGATTTAACTGTCAGGGGTCCCTTTACCTTTACCTTTTAGGACATCGTTATGATGTGCAGGGAAGGAGGGTTTATACGTATAGAGAAATAATCTAAATATTTGAAGCCTCTGGACTTCCTGATAGTTTGTACCATTCAAAGGGGCAATATATTTGCTATTCAAAACTTTTCATTCTAATTTTAGTTACGGTTCCTCTTCTTAAGTAGTAGCAGAAGTATGGTAGTAGTTGCTATTTTGTAATAGATCAGCCTTCCCCAACCTTGGTGCCTTGGATGTTTTGAACTACCGTGCCTATGCAGATTGGGACTGATGGGAGTTGGAATCCAACATCTATGGCACTAGGTTGAGGAAGGCCGATAATGAACAAATCTTTAATGAACTACTGATAGAGAGGAATGTTTTTTTGAATTGGAGAGAGGTAAGGAATCTCTTAAGTAAACTTGAGGAAATGATAATACACAGTTTTCATTCTTTCTCCTAGTGGGACTAGGATTTTCTTCAGAATGCCGCACAGCTCTTCTCTGAAATGGTCATACCTTGAGAGAACCTCCAGGCTTAGTCACCTGGAAGATATTTTCAGCTCACCACAAGTAAGTGGTTAGCCATAGCTCAATGGTGGATCACTTCTGCTTTTGCATGCAGAAGATCCCAGGTCCAATCCTTGGCACCCACCATTTTTAAAATAAAAAAGTGGATGATGGGAAAAGCCTGAAACCGCAAATAGCCACTGCCAGTTAGAGTAGAGAAAGGTGCCACAACCCTGGGATCAGTGTGATGGACTCAGAGGATGATGTGGCTCTGGCTCCGTCTTTCGGGGAAGAACTGCTAGGACCGTACTCAAGACCTTCCTGACTGGAGGATGCAGCCTCGCTGTCTCCCTCTGATTCGGAAGAGGAGTCTCTCATGGTACCTATGTCCTTGCAACCCCATAGGAGCCAAACACTGAAAATTAAGGTGAGGGCTCTTTAACAGCCAACTAGCTGCTTTGGGAAGGCACCACATGTATAGAACTTCATTTGGAGCTGGGCATTTGCAGAGACCAAAGCTAATAAAATGACTTGAAATGTCCAAGGTGGTGAAGGGCTGGGGAACCTTGTACTCCAGCCTTAAACTCTTGATGGGACATCATTGGGCTTCCCTTGTGCTTTTAGACCAGTACACAGTGAAATTAGCCTGTTTTAATCAGTAATTCACATTCTTTCTGTCCATGAAAACCCTCTGTTTTCCTTGAGTATGGTGGTGCTAACTCACTTTGGCTCCTGGGATATATATGTGGGAGTGTTTGCATGATTAAGAACAGCTTTGATGATCTTGTGTGTGGAGGGGGAGAAGGTTATTTGGACAGTGCTTTGTGATCTCTTCATTTCAGCTCCCAGTATCCTATCTCGTGCTTCTCATTTCTCAGGGCTATAAATAAAAGTGTGTCCGCCTGTGCTTACTTTTTTTAACTGGAGGCAACCCTGTAAGCTCTCTCCTGCAGGTCTGTTCAAGCTAGGATGTGAGGGGAATTCCTAAGAGGATTATTGTAGCTTACTCAATATAGGTCTTGAACTTGAGCTGTAGCTGAAAGACATGGAAATGAAAGTTGCGTAACCTGGGGTGGGGGTGGGGAAATACATCCTTGCTGACTTTGGGGGGAAACCCCAGTTAAGTGGCTGACCTGGCATCTGCACATTTTTTATGGTGTTGCCTAAAAGCTTATGGCCCCCACAAAAGTGAAATAATTTCCAATATGAGTTTCATTCATTTGCAGAAGCAACTGCATCCCTGGATTTGACTAGCAGTGACTGCTCTTCTTTTGTCTGTTCCGCATATAACTTCTGCAGAACATTCAGCCTGTGGTCTGATCCTGTGGTCCATTTTACTGTCAACTGTATGTGTCTCTTTGACTCAGTGTTTCTGCTTTTGATGTTGTAAATCCCTACTGAAGGATGCTGTGTGCGCCAGTGCATAATATTACTGCACCAGCGGCAGCCACTGTGTAGTAAGTGTATTGATGCTGTGTTCTAGATTACTGGCAGAGAAGGGGTATGTTGAGGACAGCATTTGAGATTGCTGTCTTTGGATTTAATCTCTCCTGTGGTGGGTGCCTGGAAGGGGGACTATGGTTCTGGATGCAGAAAGGCAGATCCACAGGAAGGAGCAAAGCTGGTGATCTTGTCGTTACCTTCGTTGGTCACATATTGGCACATCAACCCTGAATCCTAATTTCTCCTGGTTGCAAGTGAGGTCCTGACACTTCCTTGGTACATAGCAGGACTTCCTATGTGGGAAGGATCCCAACATAGCACCTGTGGGTGCCACAGCATCTTCCTTCCCCAACCCCTTGATCCTCCCATTAATTAATTAATTTTTAAAACATAGGTTTTAAAAAGTCTCTGGTTGGTTAGTTGGGATGATAGCTCACTTTGGGGGCATGGGTTGCTTTTTTACTCTTTGTTTTGGGGGCATATATGAGTATTCACGTGGTTGTTTTGGGGAGGGGGGTTTGGAGTGTTTGCCGGCTTTTCTCCCATCAATGGCTGTTCTGTGGTGCATGCAACAGTTTCTTAGTCTTCCAGGCCAAAAAACAGTTTGAGGGCCCCCTTCCCACATACAGATTCCTCCAGCTAGCTGTTGTGTCTCCTGCTTCAGTTTTGCCTCAAAATCAGTTCTTTTCATTCTGAATCTGAATGAGAGATTTTCTTCCCTCTTGGCCTCCCTGCAGCCCAGCCTGTGGTGTGCCATCATCTCTCCACCAGGTCTGAGGCTCCCGACACCTGCCTCCTCTGTGACACACAGAATGGATTTTTATTTTGCAAGTCCTTGCTGTCACAGATTGTGACAATCACAAGGCAGTCTGGGTGGCTTTGTGCCGTGTTCCTCGGAGAGAGTGCCAGAGGATTGGGGCGGGTGGTTGTGGGATAAAAAGCTCTGCAGGCTGTCTGTGCTTGGCAGGCTGACAGCACTTATTAGAGGTAACCTTCAGGAAATGCCACACGCAGGTCTTGGCTGGTGCTCATGCAGCATTTTACACCACTCTTAAGGGTTGCAGCCTCCCAACAGGAGCTCTTCTCTCCTGCTTTTCTTCTCTTTTCACTTCTATCATTGTCTTTCCTCCTGGATAGCTGGCTCTGGGATCCCTTTAGAGCCATAAAACATTTGGCTTCTGCTCTCTGCAACAGTCTCTCCCTTTGCACCTTTGGTTTCAAAGAAACCTTTTGTGCATTGCGCAGGAATGAGCTGTTTCCTAAGAAGGGCTTGGCTGCTTAGGCTTTGCAAGGGAGGGGATTGAGAGCACCCACTTTTCATGTACTTCGGGGTGGGGGGGAGAAGGCAGAATTGGTGGTCCTCGCCTGATCAATATGGGTCCATGCTATGGGTAGCAAAGGATACTGATGGCTGATTTACTTTATCTGTGGATTCCTGCCCTAATGGCACACATATTCTTTCCTGAGTCTTTTAAAATGTTCTAAAATTGATATATACATTGCTTAATGCCAAAATGGACTCCTAAGTGTTTTACAAAGCATGAAAACTCATTGCACAGACATTAAAATATAAACAGTCATAATTAAAAACACACAGTAAAGCAACCAGTAACTAAAATTTACAGCGAAACAATTCAACTAAAACAACACTGCAGTTACAACAGGAGTATTGGTCAAGAGCTCAAGGGGTGCCTGAGAGAGAGAGAGAGAGAGAGAGAGAGAGAGAGATCCCTGCCCTTCCATTGCAAAAATACAATTCAAGGCAGCTTCCGACATTTAAATTACAATGCCATAGAAACAACAGCATATTTTGTCACAAAACAAATAACATTTATTTAAAAATTAAACCAAAACCAGTATAAACAATTTAATAAGACAAGAATCTCTCTCTCTCTCTCTCTCTCTCTCTCTCTCTCTCCCTCTCCCCCTCTCCCTCTCCCTCTTTCTCTCTCTCTGCTATGCACCATGACTTGAGTCCAGAATATTTATTTAAGGGGGGAAAGCAAATCTTCCTGCACATTTAAGGTCTTTGGAAGTTTCCCCATTCAGCCACAACACTCTCCTGACAACTTAACAGTCACAAGTAGCATCAGGCAGTTGAAGCTTCCTATGTAGAGAAGCTCTTCTCTCTCCTGGACCCCCCCAAAGGTCAAGCTGAGATCTCATCGGCCTGTAAGGCAGAGGTGAGGATTTGTCTTTTATTTTTTACTTAGCCCTTTTTTGTGGGCAACCTGCCGGGAACTGCCTACCAGTGGTGGGCGGGACCAGAAGCAAAAAGTGAATGGAGCAACAGGTATGCCTCCAACCTTTGCACAATAGGAAACCCTCTAGCCATGCAGATGTTGGAGGCTTTCTTTTGCGCATGCATGCGTACACCCACCCACCCACCCACCCACCCAGATAAACGAGGTATTACCACAGTTCAGGGACAGATTCCAGCTAGGCCAAAGCATTTGGGGAGGGTGCAGGGATGCACAGGGAGGTGTCCTAGGCAGAGTTTCATGGGTCAGGTAGAGAGGCCCGGGCAGCCACATTCAATCCACCATGTGGAGATTCCCCACAGTGACTTTTTTGGGAACTGCATAGATTTTGTTTATTTATTTTGGCACCCCTACCCAAAAATGTTTTAAACTTGACTTGTTGTGTTTACTTGCCTTTCAAGATGCAAGAAGGCAAGCTGCCAGAATTACACACTGGATTCCAAGTCCCTTTGGTTCAGTTTCAAATCCAAACTTGGCCCTCAACAGCCTGCTAACATTTAGTAGGGTCCCCTTTTTCTCTCCAATAAAGAGGAAGGGAGGAAGCTGGCAAAGTGACGCAGTGCTTTTGTACCCTCTGCAGAACTGCAGAATGTGTCCTGTCACACAAAGCCTCTTTGGCTATAGAGTGCTGGGAAAATCCACAGAGTGGCATTTCGGAAAGCCTACTCAATTATAGTAATATTTATTTCATGAGGGGAACTGTGAGTGAGCGACGAGGAGGGAGGTGGTGGAGAGAGCAGAAGGAGGCAGAGGAGGCAGGGCCTGCCTGAAAGTCTTGATTTACATTTGGGTCCAAAATAGAACATAAAATAAACCCCACTATTCCCTCTTTTGTGGATTTAATGTCCCCGGCGCTCAGAATGGTCTCCTGAGTGCCCAGCTGTCAGTTTCAAAAGCTTGCAAGGGGTGGTGGGGTGGAGGAAGGGGGTGGGGAAAAAGGAGGAGAAGAAAAAGAGGTTGGGGGGAATGACTTGTGGTCTCCATGGCAACATACCAGACGACAAATGGATCAATGCTGCTGCTGTTCGCCATCTGAAACTCAAGCAGGCCTGGCTAAATCCTGGGCCTCTCTTGCTGACAGGCCTTGCTGGGGGGGCCATTAAGGCGAGGGCACCTCGGGGCGAAAGTGTTCATGCCTCACTGAACTCCTCCGATGACGGGCGCTTGGCATCTTCTGTAATGGGGGTGACTTAGCAGAACCTTTCTGGAGTTTCACCCACCCCTTTCGGCAACCCATGGCTTTGCGTAGCTCCAGGACTCTCCTGTCGACTGCCTTGAGGCCAGGCCAGAAGTGGTCATGGCAGCATGGTATTAGTGACCCACGGCCGTTGGGGTTCTCAGCTGTGTTCAGGGGACCCAGGGATTCCTCAGAAGGCAAGGCGAGCAATGGCAGGCAATGTCCTCTGCAGCACCAGGGTTGCAGATGTGGGGTCACAGAGAGAGCACTGGGCTTCACGGGGGATAGCGGTAAGGCCTGGCTGGCAGTTCTGTGTGTTTTATTTACTTGTTGCAATGGCTTCCCTGTACTTTCTTTAGGGAGCTCAGGACTGTGTACCTGGTTTTGCTCCCTGCTCTGGTTTTATTCTAATAGTGACCTGTGTACAGTGGTACCTCGGGTTACAGACGCTTCAGGTTACAGACTCCGCTAACCCAGAAATAGTACCTCGGGTTAAGAACTTTGCTTCAGGATGAGAACAGAAATCACGCAGCAGCAGCGGGAGGCCCCATTAGCTAAAGTGGTACCTCAGGTTAAGAACAGTTTCAGGTTAAGAACAGACCTCCAGAACGAATTAAGTACGCAACCAGAGGTACAACTGTAGTATGGGTAGGCTGAGAGATTATGACTGGCCCATCATCCATTGAGCATTGTGGCAACTCCCATCAGCCCTAGACGGAATGTCTTGTGGTCTGGGGTGATGGGCAGCAGGTTTCCCCATCCCTGGTTTTGTAAGTGCATTTTATCCTCCATCTGTCAGCAGTCTCTGAGGTTGCTCTAGTGCCAGGACCCCATGGACTGTCATCGGTGTGTCTACCTGAACAGTGCTGGCATGCCTGCCTTCGGTTTAGATATGGATATAGTCATGTATTCATATAATTTTTGTCACTCTTAATGTTTCCGTGCTCTGACTATGCTTCTGCACTCCCTTTTGTTTTAGGTGAAAACAGGGGAAGATACAAATAACAGCAATCCGAAGGGTTGTTATTATCCTTTCAGAATTTAATAATGTGACACCAGTGGGGTTTTTTTAAACTGGAAAGCTTGTTCTTCCCTTTAGGAATAGATCAATAGCAGGCTTTGTATCTGCGATCTGGAGGTAATTGCTAGTGTCAGGCAATGTCTAGTGTTGTTTTCTACATGGCCTTGGGTTGCTTTGTGGGACGTTTAGGATCATAGACAGTGCGTGAGATATTCCACAGGGAAAAAGATGAAGTCTGAAGGCTTGGTGTAGGAAGGAGGAGACTTGCCTCTTCATCATGTTTTTGGAGAGAGGAAGAATGCAGTCTTTCAGAGACTTATGTCATAGCTGAAGCACATAATTTCCAGAAACAGCTTGCTTCAGGGAAATGGAAACTTGTAGGTTGGCTGCGGTTCCTAGGGCTACAGAACCCTCCGTTTTTCTTATAAATTAATTGCAGATGGTGAACAGTTCTGAGGCTGCACGTTCAGGGTTGACAAGAGAGCCTGCTCTCAAAGTCTGAATCTGTGTGATAGGATTGGCCAATCTGCCTGAATCTTGACAGTAATTTCCCATGCTACTGGTTGTGCAATTTTAAGGCGAAACCAGAAGTGCAGGAAATGGAACCCACAAAAAAGAGGCACTAAGTTGTGGGTGGATTTGTGCAAAAATTCTAAAGAAATTTCTTTATGAACATGGGAAGTTGCCTTTATATCAAGTAGACACTGGTACATGAAGTAAGTATTGTCAGTTAACTGGCAGTGGGGCTCTTAAGACAATATTTTCCCAGTCCTTCCTGGAAATGCTGGGGATTGAAACAGACCATTTGCTTGCAAAGCATACCGGTATATTGAACCCCTGAGCTGTTTACCCCAGAGCTGGTGTGGCGTGAGTGGTCTTCAAGGATGCAGGTTATGTTCTGTATGAGAGAGAGAGAGAGAGAATGAGTTGTGATGAAGGTGATAGGTATGTGGCTTGGGTGTACGCATATAAGCATCAGAGCAAAGGCGTGTTCTGTGACCACGACTACTTTGGCCATGACCACTGTAGACACACGGCCCTTGGGAGGGTTGGTCAGCCTTGGCTCTGGGGCCAAAAGAGTGAGCTTCTCTTAGTATGTAGGATGCACAGAATCCTGCCTGAAAAAGATGGTTAGTGTTATCCTTTCTTTGAAATATCTCAGATGTTTGCCCAAGTGAAACTACCCAATTTGACCTGAAGCTTCCAGTTTAGGCAAAATTTGATGGAAGCTATGTATGCAAGTGTTCTTCAGCCTTGGTCCCCCAGAAGTTTTTGGAATACAATTCCCACCATCCCTGACCATTTCCTCAGCTGGCTGGATATACAGTCATATCTCGGGTTACAGATGCTTCAGGTTGTGCGTATTTGGGTTGTGCACCGCGCCGAAACCGGAAGTACCGGAACGGGTTACTTCTGGGTTCGGCGCTCTCGCATGTGCAGAAACACTAAATCATGCTTTGCATATGCACAGAAGCGCCGAATCACGACCTGTGCGTGCGCAGACGCGGCTCTGTGGTTTGCAAATGCTTCGAGTTGCGAACGTATCTCCCGCACGGATCACGTTCGCAACCTGAGCGTTCACTGTAATGGGAATTACAGTCCAGCAACCCAAGGTGGAAGTAAGCAGCCAGCCTCTGCTTAGAATGAAACCCCCCCCCCCCCATTTAGGATTAGTGCAAGCTCTGGTCTGCCACTATTGCAACAGTTGCTATCCATGTGAAGACAATCCCTGGCTTGGTTGCCTTCATTTTGGCAAACGTGTTCATTGTTCACTTCTTTCCCCCCTTCTCTCGCTTGCAACTTAATAATAAGCAGAGAGCCATGAGAGGATGAAATGAGCCTATTTTTTTCAGCTGTTCTGCGCTGTGGCTTTCTTCCTCCCCACTCTCCTGGATGTGCATTTTGCTTCTCCTGGGAGCCCTGAGGGTTAGTGAGAATTTAGAGAGCTGAAGAGTGCACACTGCTGATGTAGTTGTTCTGGAAGATTTCTGGCGGTGCAGAGAAACCTGGGGGGACCCCCCTTGTCTCCTCTCAAATTCAGTGCAACGATGGAACATTCATTGTCTTGGCATGGTGATGTTCCCTGTATGGCTTTGTGTGTACACAAATAATTGGAGTCTTGGAAGGTGGCCTTTTATAAGGGCAAGATAAGAACCTAAAGGTTAAGTCAAGAGGGAGGTCTTCAGTGGATAAACTTAAAGGTGAATGTTTGCTTTTTTGCTGCTTTTCCTTCCCAGAGCTAATAATAATGGGAGTAGGAGAGAGCAGCAACACCAGGCTGTGTTGCATGCAGTTCCTGAAGTTCAACATAGCCTTGCAAATAAATTTCTGGCTCACAAACTTCACAAACATTCACAAGCACTCCTCTGTCCTCATGTAGGTCATTTATGCTTGTGGCACCAGAGCAGGCAGCTGTGTAGTTGTCCTCAACTTCTGTCTTAACAATGGACCTTTTTG